AGTACTTTAGTTGGTTGAGTAGAAAGAATCCATCTTGAAGTAAACAGTCACAATCTCACAGAAAAAGATCCTCTTGACTCCAAGATCCTGTTGTGACCCCTCCGGCCTGTAGCGAAGCGCTTTTCACGTCTTCCAGGCGGCGAAGACCAGTGCACGTGACCGGTGCGCCGGGGCGCACCGTCGTTCTCCCTTTCCCCTGAAACGAAGATTGCAGGTCAGACATCGTTTTGCCTATAAGACCCTATAAGTTATCCGACATCGTTTTGCCAAAGAAAGATCCAAGTTAGTTATCCCATGTTATGCCTGCCTCCCAACCTGCCAGACAAGAACCCTAGGCCCTCCCAACTTGCTTCGCTCGCACTCACCGCACTCGACCTCGGCGTTCCCCGTTTGGGGTGCCAGGGCGATGAACGAGTTCGGCTTCGACGACGACGAGATGGGCCGCGATCGCGCCAACTCCTGGGACGCCCGGTACGACGACGGCGACGGTGTCCGGTGGAACAGACGGTGGTTGTTTTCCGGAGGGCGCGATCAAGTGGTGGAAGGAGGAGGAATGGGTTTGATGCAGAGATCCAGACGTGTGGAATGATTTTAATTGTGGCTTTTCATGCTGAACATCTGAACTGCAGGCAGAAACAAAGGTTTGTCATGAATTTCTACCTGCGGGTGGGGAAGTGCTGAGACACACCGAGCTCAAGAGGTGTGTTGTCTTCGAGATGCGCATCATGCATGGTGCATTGCGTAGCACCAACCGCATGAGCATGCATCGCATAAGACAGGGGCCGTCTGACATAGCTTTAAGGAAAGCTCTACTCCGTTCAGACTGATTGTGCAAGCTTGGATGATTGAAAGGGAGAGAAGGTGGAAGAGACTGTCTGAAAACAATGATACATTCCATTTCTTGGAGGATGGCCATCCCCAGAGGTCAAACCGCACTGTCGGTCCAACACCGTAGGTCTTTTCTGGACGCTTGGCCCCTCTGACTCGGGTTCCCCCGATGGTAGCCAAGGACTCTGACTGAGCGCGGGGATTTGAAGCCGTTGTTGTTTTATTTGAAGATTTTGCCTCATGCCAGTGGCTCTGGGTCATAATTGCAAGACACCCTACGCCGGCCCTACGCATTTCTACGCTTGTTCTGTGGGCTGGCCGGTGCTCGTGAACAATCATCTCAATGTAAGGAGTGGCCACCCTGTCCATAGTTTTGGGCATTCTAGTGGTTTTTGACCTGCAGCCATGTAGGTTGCATCAAAGATGGCAAGAGCTTCGGTACAAGAACTTTGTGCCACTGTCCATAACGCATGTGTGCAAGTTCAGAGGTGTTTGGGCCCGAGCAGTGACCGATCACAGATCTTTAAGCTGCAAACACCTCTGCAATTCAAGAAAACGCCACCATTTGCAACGGACAAAGGCGAACTCAAGAACTATATGTACCTGTCCTGGTCAAGCATCTTCAATATTGATATCTCCAGTGACCTGCAACAGTGAATGAAGAGATTGAAGGAAGTGTGGAACCTTTTCGTGTTCAAAGGGTGTTTTTTTCCAGGACTGTCAGACTGTGACTTAAGTCCAGAGCCACCATCGCCGTGGAAGATGAACCAGCATGTGATCCAACCGGAGCTCGTCGTCTCGGCGTGTTTTGGCCGTCTTGGCTGGAAGAGCGGCATGTTTTGACAGCGTGGACTGGCTGGATTATCTTGTCCTGGACCTTGAATGGAAGACTATATATACACAAACACACATACATATCACATATATATATATACATAATGTATAGGAGCTCGAGTCTATGATATATTAGCATTTTCCCACATCGCAACCTGAGCCACGAAAGAGAAGGACACAAGCAGCAGGGAGCCACAAGAAACATTCCAGCCGCATCAAGCCGCGCCAAACACACACGACTCTCCGCGCGAAACGGTGCCACCTTTAGCCGTCCTTTTTGGTCAACGAACGCGGCTCCACGCCGCCTCATCCGGGGAAGATGGCCGCTCCATCTCAGGTGCGGATGATCGGAGGATCGATTGGGTATCATATCTCAGCCACGAGTGAAACCATGCCAGGGCCCCCCAACATGGGGTTGTCATGATTGATTTTGAGAAAGCTCGGGATCCACAAACCAAAAGCTTTCCATTGGTTTGGCCGTTTTATTGGTGCTGTGGCCCTGCCAGTCTCTCACGGACAAGCGCCAACTACGAGGCCGGCTTGGGAGCGGACGGACTTTATTTTTTTCTGACGAAGAAACGGATCAACAACAACGCGTTTTATTTTTTAGACGTTTGTTCTATATTATTTGCTGTGTTTTTGATGTTAGAGGACATGTTGAACATGTAGCAGAAGTAGCTTCTCAGGCTCCCTAAATGTTTCAGGCCACTACTGTTGATGGAAGAAATCCTGCAGCTCAGCTGCAATAATTCTTCCATCAACAGGAGTGAAGGGATCTGGCATTTGGGGCGTTTGCGTGCAGTTGAGGGGTGCAAACCTGCGCCTTTGAGAGAAAAACATTTGCTTTTCCCCGCCGAAAAAGGGGTCCTTCAGATTTCCACCAATGTCAAGGTTGATTTCCTGAGAAGAACAGTGACATTGAAACCCGTTGAAGGCAGATGATGACACCCGCAAGCGAAAGAAGACAACACGAGCATGTTTTGAGTGCGCAGGCCGAAGAGGACCCGTGGCGCTTGACACTCAGTTGGATGTCGGTGACTGATTCACCTATTTTTTCAGCGATTCCAGCCGTCATTGATTTACTGGTCTTTACTGAACAACCAGTGTTTTACAAAGGATTTGGACTACAATACCAGCTCAACCTTTCTTTCAATGGTCTTGAGAAGCTAGGGTATACAGCGAAATCACCGTTTACGAAGTGCACTACGAAAAGCAATCGCCCTCATCGTTGGGAGAAAGACTCCATTATGCATATTTTTGTTTTGTTCTCATTGAATGTTGTGAAATGGTATCACACTTTTCACAAAGCCAGCTAGCACGAAAGCACAAACTGTGCCCAGCATTCCTCACCCGACCGAAAAGCAGAGATCTTCCAAAGGGGCCTGGCTTGCATAAAAATAGCTTTCGAAGCATGGTCGTTGCATCGAAATCGCACTCGCTTCCAAAGTCAGCCGTGGATGGCTTTTCCAAAAAATGCTATGTTTGTTGGACTGATCTCTTTTCATCTCTTTTCTTCTCTCTCGTGGTCAGAGCTGATGTTCTCAGATTCTCGCCGGCAAGTCACCAAGTCATGTGGGTGTGGGTGAAAACCTGGGCACCCTGGTTGACCACCCAAAATGAACCGATACCTCTGATTTCCTTTGATTTAGTCTGATTTCAGGGATGAAACCACCGAGTGAAACCATGGCTTTGGTGGGATTGAGGGCTGGTTGGTTCCTCTTCAAGCCCTGTGGCTCGCTGCTTGGTTCCTCACAGCCCTTTGGTTCCTCACCACCGCTCGGGAGGCCGGTCGTGGAGACGCTGGAAGACAGCTGGGTGGACAGGCGATGAGTACGCACGGTGTCGAAAACCACGCCACGTGGGGTCGCCGGACCTCGGAACAGTCTGGTTTTCTGCGCATGTTCGAGGAAAGTCCGCTGCAACGTATCGTACCAGGGCAGACAGCTGCAATTCAGGTGGTGTTGGAGTTCATTAAAAGGAAGGACAAGAAGCCCGAACTGGCGGAGCTGAACTATAGGCATTGGGTTACCTTCATATGCTTTCAGTGGTGTGTTGCTGGTCTTCCGGATCGTACCTTCCTTTTTCCTGCTATCCAGGTCGACCCCAGGTCCAGCGACTGGTCCGATGCGCGACGTCGACTCCAACGGTTCATCCTTTCGTTGGGCATGTTTGGAACCCTTTCGAGACGTGGCGGAACCATTCACTTCTGCCCTCCTCGAGGTCTGTCCCATGTTTTTTTTGAGAAGGGGGGTCAACGTTTGTGTCGAACTCTGAAAACCATCCTATCATCTAAACCATCCTCAGCGCCCTTCGGGCGCTACCCTCGGCGCTACCCTCAGCTCCGACTCGTCGTAGACCTCGTCGCTGGGCGTCGAAAAGGCTCGAAGATGGCCGTGCCTTGCGGAAAGGCCGACCACTTCCCGCGGTCCGGTAAGGTTGCGCGCGGTCGGGTGTTTGAGCGATTTTGCCGGAGAACAACCATCCCCACGTGGCGAAGATTGCTGGGGGTGAACAAACACGGATTTCATCTCTCAGCATCTCTCAGCTAAGACTCTCAGCTAAGCCAGCTAAGCAGGATGGAGATGATGGAGCAGGAAGAGACGGAGCAAGAAGAGCGAGTTTGGGCAGTAAATCTTAAGTTGTTCTTGCACCCAGCAATCTTTTCCCCACCAGAACTGCCATCAAGAAAAGAATGTCTGTTGGGAGAACAACCCAAAGTGAACTGGTCCTGCAGCTGTTCGTCTACCCTCCGACATGCTTGCAAGCTTCTATGCAACTACGAAGTTGATCTTGGGAGTGATTGGTGGATTTCTCGCAGGCCAGCTAGACATGGAGGGGCTGGAACGATGCTATCCCACACCACCGCCAAGGCCAGGGTTGTCGACTTGAAGCTTTAGGGAAATCGGACTGGGCCACTGGACAATTTTCTGGAGTGGCTTGGACAGGATTTTTTGGGTTGTCGAGGGAACGAAAAGGGGGGGTGGAATCGAAAGAGACGAGGCATGGCGTCAGGCTCTTTCATGGCGTCAGAGTTGATCCTACATCGATACTTAACTGTTAGAATGTTAAAAATCAGTGTGTGGAAAAAATCTGGCAGTGTTGGTCAACCTTTTCATCTGCCAAAGCAGTGCCAAATCATCCGATGCTCATGCCGTGCTGGAGTTGTCTTGAGCTTGCACTGAGGGCAGCGCCAAGTGCTGCTGAAGCCTCCTCAACCTCAACCTTGCCCATCTTCAAAAGCAAGGACCTTCCAGAGGTTGGGTGATTTGATCTGCCCGTAGTGTTGCAGCCGTTCTGTTTGGGACTGGCAACTGACCCATTGCTCAGGAAGAGCTGGAGCAGATGCGCCGGGCCATGCGAGAAAACAGGCTCCAGCAGCTTCAGCAACGGCTGGGTGGCCCAAGTACTCGTAAGGGACACTTGATCGTCTTGTTTAAGAGTTCCTTCGCTTCAGGTCCAACAGAGTCCATCCACATCCAAAGAGAAGGTCATTAACACACATCTTAGACCCTCGAGAGGTCACCCCCAATACTGCCTGATACAACCATGCGCCCGGCGGCGACAAGGCGACCTCTTCGCGAGGAGCGGGGGGAAGCAGGGCCTTGGCGCGTAGAGGAAGATCGACTGGTGGAGGTGGGTGAGTAGAAACGAACGAAACAACCAACATCTCCAAAGTCATGTAAGTCCAAAAAGGATCAGGTATATCCTGGTGCTCCCCCCTCTTCTTCTTCTAACTCTACTACAACTAGAACTACTGCTGCCACTGCTACTGCTACAGCTACTGCTACTGCTACTGCTACTGCTACTGCTACTGCTACTGCTACTCCTTCTACTACTACTACTACTACTACTTCTACGACTACTACTACTACTACTACTACTACTACTGACTACGACTACGACTACGACTACGACTACGACTACGACTACGACTACGACTACGACTACGAC